GCGCTCTCTCTCGCTCGCGCGCTCTCTCTCTCTCTCTCTCTCTCTCTCTCTCTCTCTCTCTCTCTCTCTCTCTCACACACACACACACACACACACACACACATATGCACATATACATATGCACAGATGGAGGGCCTCCTATGGGAAAGAAACAGATCAAGCCTCTGTTTGATCTCTCAGCAATTTTTGATAGTGTGGGATCCTCCTGGAGCACTACTGGGGGTTGGGGTTCTATTTCCGGGGTCAGTCTCACAGAGTACCATAACGAACTTTGCCTTGGCATCCTTGTGGTAAGCAGTAGACTGCCACAAGGCATTTGGAACGGCTTTGAGATTTAAGAAGGTAACAACAACACCAACGGCAACAACAACATGGCAGACTGAAGCTTTTTCTAGCAAGTACATATACACAATGTTAAAGAGATGAGGGTTTCGGGGGATCATCCATTTCCCTTTTGGCCTGCTCATGACTTGAGAATGTCCAAACTTATAGGTAGGCATGGGAAAATGAATGGAATCTCTCAGAAAGCTTTGGCTGGAGAAAGCAACTAATAATAAACTGCTCATGTGTAGAAAGGAATTGTTTTTCATTTTTAATTCCTTTTCTTTGGTTTATGGTTATTCTTTAGCTCTTACATGGAAAAAATTATGAGGCCCTCTGGGGAGAGAATGAGAACATTGATGAAATTGATAATTGATGTAAGCTTCCATGAGCCAGAATGGTAAATTATAAATTAAATATATAAAATAGCCTCTGTTCCGGTAAATTAATACATAGCATCATAAATTATAAATAAATAAGAGCCTTGGCTAAATCTTGAGCCATTAATCATAAATATGTTTAAATCTCAGCTGCCAGTTTTCAGTTTCTTTGGTGCCTTTGAAAATATTTTTATATTTTTACCTGTGATGTATTCTGTATTTAATATGAACCTAAGTTATAGCACTTATGTTGCCCGTATTGCATTTAACCAAAAGGAAAATGACTCTGAATTTATCACTGTTCCTCATTGCCCCAAGGAAGAGTATGCAGAAAACAACCTGTATGAATGTATGTATGTGTTATAT